TTATATGGCTTGACTTTAGGAGCATGCAAAGAGTTGTTTAGTGTCGTAAGGGGCCTCATTGCTAGAAGGATATATACATATATCTAACATGATTAAGTCAATTCTGGATAAAAAGTTGTGCCAGTATTACAAGGGATTCTCGAATCAGTTCGAGCGCTTCTTCTGGGAAGAGTGTTTAGAAAGATGTTGATGACGATTCTCGCAGACTGGCATTTAATATTTAATGCACTTAAGTCGTACGATAGATGCTTTGCTGTGCAAGTGATACTTTAGCGACATCAGAAGGTTTCCTGTCACGGTCCCTATGGTGGTGTTGTTCTAGGCTTGTAACTTCTTCCACTGTGCCCAGATCGGTGCGGCATAGTTTACTACCTGCCGGCCAAATGTTTTATGGGTTGCCAGCAACGTCTCTTAATTTTTTTCCCAGGTGCTGCCGGCTAACGCTTTTACACCGAGTTCGAGCCTATACTCGTTCGTTCAGTTATTGAAGAGGGTAGCCAAGGATTTTGCTGTTTGTTGTTAATTGTTTTGCAGTGATAGAGATCGCAGTTCACTTTCGAACATAAGTGATCAATATCCTGCTCCAACACTAATATCGAGTATCGGGATATGAGATCAGTGAAACTCCTTCCGGTGTGGGATGGTGTTTCGAGCTCTCAAGAATACCACAAAGCGGAACCGCTTGTTTAAACTTTTTGAGTTTGGATGTTTGACCTTGAAATTCTCCGGTGATTTATTATTACTTATATATACCATTGGTCCACCTCTTCAGTTTCGGTCCACTTATTCAGTGCTCCGGTGCTGTTGTGTTGCTGTGCACTTTGAGGAAGCAATGCTGATATGCTAGAGCATTTAGATGGTGTGTGGAGGGCGGATGCAGTAAGGCTATAAGTGGTGGTTGTCTCCATTTTCCATATATGGGATATTTTTAGGGCGTTCGGAGACAAGTTTAGGTCCTTTGTGAGAAAGTTTGCATCCGGTGGCCCTAGATGTTTAATATGAGTATACCGATGAATTTGCAGAATTTCACCTTCACGATAATCACCTGAAACTTTTCCGAGGGCTGGTGTTCGGCATTTTTTTCCTCCCACTTATTGCGCTTATGAATATTGACTTGACGCCGAATGATGATCACGATGTGAAAGGCCAATTGTCGAAAATGCCGATGATATAATAGAAATCTCCAAGTCTCACCATTATGCGAACACTGCTTCGATTGTCCAGAAGCTTAGCATTGCGTAGGAAACAGTTTGGAACCACTTAAAAAAGACTGAATACACAAAGAAGCTCGATAAGTTAACAAGTAAAAACCTCTTGGACCGACTTTCCATTTGCGCACAGCTACTAACTCGTAAAAAATCGAAATAATTCTAGAACGGATGGTGAGCAGTTATGAAAAGTGAATCACTTGCAGCAACGCCAAACGAAAACGGTCGTGGCTAAAGGACAGTAAAGGAATCAGCCGCTATGAGCTGCTCCCCTATGGCCAATCTCGTAATTTGGATCTGTATTGTTAGCAATTGAGCCATCTGAAGTGAGCAATCGGCCAGAAGCATCCAGCTTTGGCGGACAGGAGGGGAATGTTGTGCTCTGTTGTTGCGAGTTTTACGTTTCGGCAACAAAATAGCAGCAATTGGTACGGATCAGCAGCCTAGCGAACAGACCAATTGTTTGCTTTAATTTTGTCCCTCTTTAGCTTTCAATGTTATGTAATAAAATATTTTTTTTTCCCCTTCGAACTTAACACGTGCTTCCGCCATTATTTGTATTAAGCAAATTTGGGACAATGTCATGCGTAGGTGTGTGAGTAGTGCCATTGTGTTGTTATCATTGTAAGGATGGGAATAAAGGATTATGGAAAGCAAATACGAGTAGCTACAGAGTTTCATACATACGCATTGAAGTACATACATACATATAAAGAAGTGTAAATATATACATGAATATATTATATGTATGTATATTGAATGAAACGAAGGCAGAGTATTGAAATTGCGCTGACATCTTTGTGTAATTTGTCGGCTTGTGAGCATCCAATGCTTCCTTCCAAAAAGCAAAGGCATATGCCACATACATATATTTACATATACAGGGTGTTATAAACATAAAATTTAAGGAAGTAATAAAATAAAAATAAGAAATATGTAAATTCTTTAGTGACTTACATTTTATAGGTATATCCTTAAATGAACGTTTTTTAAGCCACGTTTTGCACTTTTTTTTAATTTTGTTAAATATTTAACAATATATTTTTCATTTATATTTTCTTCTAATAACTACTTAATATTTCATCGCTAGCATGGCCAGAATAATAAACGTAACTATTACAATGAATACATACAAACATATACATATGTATAGTGTTTAGGAAACAACACCAATTCACTTATGCAGTTATGTTACTCGGGATACAAATACATACATAAATATGCTGTTAATTTTGCGCTCATGTATTATAAATCGTACATAGTATGTATGTACTTAAATGGATTTTGAATTGTTATACAAAGCTGTGATTTCTTAATCTAAAACTTTAAATTTGTTTTTTTCTCGCACTATCACAAATTAAAACCGTTCAAAATACCAACTTGTCTGAGAACACGAATCTCACTAAACTTGCCATCGCATGTTGCATAGTTACCCCTCACTTGTGTACCCCACAGAAGCAACCCAACCAAAGTAAGACTTCGAAAATGAACTCTGCATAAATTTTGTAGCATGCGCGATAACGAACAGATGTGGGTTTTCTTTATCGACAAATTTAAAATTAACTTTCCCCAACAATCCGCTAACGTTTTCATAAGAAAGTTACTCACTTCCGGTAGAGCTGTTTTTTTAATTAACACATTTACTGGCCAATCCTCACTGTTACCGGTAAAGTAAATTTTGTTACTTTTCTTTAACAGCCGAAATTGAATTTGGTATTCTGGCGAACTGGTTACAATGTTTGAAAAAAATTTGGCCGCACTTCTTTTTTTGTCCAAGTCAATTATTGGATGAGTGCATAAGTTCGTGCCCGATTCCGCTGGATGCCGTTCGAATCGTTTGAGAGTGCCGCTCGTGAAAGAAATATATACATATTATATATCGTTGGAAAGGTGACAGTCCGAACTGTATCAATGTAATGTAATCAAGCATAAAATAACTTCATTTTGATTTGAGTTGCTTAGTGAAAAGACGCATGGAAGATGGACAACGAAAAAAATCATATGCATCATATTATGTTATACGAATTCCGCAAAGGAAAAACAGTAGTCGCTGCAACTAAAGATATTCGCGAAGTTTATTTGGACCGTGCTCCAGCACTTTGCACAGTAAAGAAATGGTTCGCGAAATTTCGTTCTGGAGATTTTAACCTCGAAGATCAACCTCGCAGTGGACGGCCTTCTGAGCTTGATGACGATGTTCTAAGGACTTTAGTTGCGAATAACTCACGTATTTCGACGGAAGAGGTTGCCAGTGAATTGCAGGTCAACAAATCAACTGCGTTTCGTCGTTTAAAAAAGGATGGGTACACTTTACAGCTCGATACATGGGTGCCACATCAGTTGAGTGAAAAAAAAAAACAAAGTGGACCGTATGTCAACAGCAATTTCTTTGCTTCGACGGATCAAAAACGAACCTTTTTTGGATCGGCTCGTGACTGGTGATGAAAAATGGATCCTGTACAACAATGTTCAACGCAAAAGAACATGGAAACAGGCACACGAAGGGGCGGAACCGATGTCGAAAGGTGGATTGCATCCGATGAAGGTACTGCTGTGCATTTGGTGGGATATCCGAGGTGTGATCTATTTTGAGCTCTTGCCAACTGGAGAAACGATCACTGCCAACAAGTATTGTCAGCAATTGGTCGAATTGAAGAAAACAATTGATGAAAAACGTGCGATTTTGGCCAATCGCAAAGGAGTTCTTTTCCATCATGACAACGCCAGGCCACATGTTGCAAAACCGACCCTGGCCAAACTGAAGGAGATGAATTGGGAAATCATGCCGCATCCCCCATATTCACCCGACATTGCACCTTCTGATTATCGTTTGTTTCGATCGCTGCAGAACGATTTGAATGGAAAAAAATTTAAAAATGTGGAAGACGTCAAAAACCACCTTGACACCTTTTTCAACGAGAAACCTGCGCGATTTCTATGAATCAGTCATCCGTAAATTGGTTGAACGTTGAGAGTGGATTGCCGAACATGATGGCGAATACATAATTGATTATGTATTATTGATCTTCAAAAAATTTCAATTTTAGTTTGCACTTAAAATCGGGCACGAACTTATGCACTCATCCAATACATTTGCCAGTTGATAAAGTAAAAAAGAAAAATATTCACATCGAAATGGAAGACGGTGCACAAAAAAATTAAAAAAGTTTTATTAATTTGTTTATTAAATCATAAATATTTGAACCTAATTATGGAAAATATGTCGGGACAACAAAAAAAGCAGAATGAAAACGTTATCTTACAAACTAAAGGGCTATTTTTTTGTCTCTTTTGCCTTTGTTCTCAAAATACGACTTTTTGCACTTTTTTCTTCATCTTCAATGAATTCCGGGCCTAAAATATGCCTACCCATTTTGTTTTCTTATTTTTTTTTTTTCAAACTAACAACACAAAATCAAACAGCAGATATTTTTGTTACCTCCTATTTCGCTGGTAACAAAGTTTACAGGGTAACAGTGAGCTCAGAATACGAAATGGTAACAAAAGTTACTGAATGGTAAAATTTAATACCCAGGTAAATTTTGTTACCTCGACAGAATAGGCCTGTTATATGAAAAACAGACTAGCTTGCACTTCGGCATAAACAAGTAATTTTAACTAACGAACAAGTAAATTATATCAAAATATAAACAATGTTGGTAACTATTTCTTTTATCAACTCAATCTAAGCAGAGAATCTATAAGGTCGTGCCCTTACCATCGACTCCAATATGGCAGCACTACGTTACGTTGCAGTCGTTCAAGCGCAACCAACTTCGTCACACTCAATAACGAATGGAGGCGAACAAGTAAATTTTGAAAAAACGTTTGCATTTCACCTGATACCAATCACAAATTTCAAAATAAAATGCAACCGTCACAACAAGCTGTTTATTCAATTTGTAAATGTTAAAAGTGCTCCGTTTTTAAGCCACAAAGTCAGCTGGGCTGCAATCGAGTGGTTCGCCTTGTGCTAATTAGTTTGTTTTGTTTGCTTATCGCTTTGATTTCTCGCAGTTTTCCCTGCGAAAAATATCTGAGAAAAACAAACCTCCCAACAACAAATCTATTTATATACGTTTGTGACCGTATGTATACGCATTGCGCCAATATCAGCTGGTTGCCAAACAGAATTGTTGAGTTTTGTGCGATAACATTTTTGCCAATGCAAACAAACAAAACGAGGGTTGGCTAAATGCAAGGGTAAGTGTGATGGCAATAGCTGTATTGCTTCGACAGATAAGATAAATAATTCAAATTAAAATTTCCTAAACAATTAGGCAACGCTGGCGTAACTACAACAACTCATTTCAAAAGGTGAATTCAGTGTTATGATTTTTTTCTCTTTTTAACCTATACTGCGTACAATGCTGGTATGAGTGAATAAGCAAGAGCTTTCATAGCTGGTATTTTGACGTTTGCGCCTAGACGCGAAGACCGCATCAAAGCATATTCGGCAAAGCAAATCAGGCGTACAAAAAAAAAAAGACAGAAGTAACGACAAGAAAACGTTGAAAGCGAGAATAAAATAAAATTGCAATCAAAATAAAAACTTTTGTGCCGCACAAATTAAAACTCAATAGACAATAGTGGCTATTTTGCGGCTAGCCAAATTGCAATTTGAAGTGTGAGAAAAGTGAGTTACTTTAGGTCGATGTATATGCGAATACCGAAAACAGCTATTACGACTTGGAAGCGATTTACAAATCTAGTGAATACGCTTTGGAAAAGATTGTATCTACCTGCCTCACCGTTTTTAGCGCTCACCTATCCAATATCGCCGAAGCTAGTATCAGAGGTAAGCTAATTAGCGATTTTTTTTTTTTACAATAATGAGCTGTAATGGGGCAGTGAATACAGATCATTAACTGAATTGATAGTGTCGGCATGCATTTGTTATATATATATGTAATTCGGTCATGGTCTGTTGATTACATATTGCTTGTATTGTTGTTAATGTGGTTAGCAGAGATAGTGCAGTAAAGTATTTTCGTTAATAAGTTTCTAAATTATGTGCTAACTTGGAATTTTTTGCAGTTTTCGCCATGAAGAACGCGCGCAATGCGAGTTGGCAAAATATACTCACCACGCATGTGCTTAATTACAACCATTTCTGCAATCTTAACTTTTCTGCCAATCCGTTATTTACATTTCATAATGATAAACATATTTTAGTTAGAGATATTTTGTATATTTCAGATTTACAAATTTAAATAATTAAATTTGAATAAAAATAAATATGTAGGTAATTGTATTTTGCCAATATTCAAAAGCTGTGGTGAATATGAAACCACAGCGTCCTCTAGTGTCAAGCATTGCTCTAGCTTGACGTCGTATTGTGCAGGTTTGACAGCTGCTAAGGAGGTATCTCAATCTCAATGGACAGTGTGTTTAGATTTTTTAGTATTTGGAATACACGAGATTTTGTGGATTTCTCTATAGTTTGATTTATTGGTGGCAATTATCTTCATAAAACAGAATTCTTCCATTTTTACCCATCATCAAGAGAGTTTTGTGAAAACGGGAAAAACTGCAACTATTTGCACTAAAATTGCAAATAACAAGCTGCCATTGTAGCTTTTCATACAAACATACATATGTACAATCACACACAAAAAAAGTAAAAAAAAATCAATTTCCAAGTGTTTTTCTTTTAGCTAAAACGAGTTTCAATATATTTTGTGTGTGAATACAAACTTGAAGAAATTAACCAAGTGAGCGAAAAGAAAGAAACCGAATTAGAAAAGGTAATTGCAATTCATTAAGCTGCTAAAAATAGTAGGATTCGTTGCAATTTGCCCAACACCTATTGCTTTATTTCCTTTTTTTTTTTTAAAAAATTTTTCTGGACTATATCGCTGCGTAGTTGTAAAAAAGTTAAAAATAAAAAATTTAATACAACTTATTAAACTTCCGCAAATTTTAAAGGTGACTCTCAATGATCAGTTTGCGATAAACCATATTTAATAATTCTGTAATGTGCTTTCGCAACGTAAACTTCACGTGTGTGTATGTAAATTGCCTATAAATGTGTGTTGTCTGGCCGATATTCTCCGCTGAGTGCAAATTGAACGTATGTTTGCTGATAATACTTGATTGTCATGTTTACCGAAATTTTTTTAATAAAAATCAGCTGGTTTTTGTGAGGTGTCATACGAAATAAGTCTATGTGATAAAATAAATTTTAGAATTTGTAGACACCCTCCCTTACTGTACGCATTAATATAAAGAAGATTTATTAAAATCAAACGTAGGAACGTTTGTATATGCAAAGAAAACTGTTCTTTCTGTTGATAAAGTCCCTAAATAGGGGAGCACTAATTGCTTTGTTCATTTTCAATGACTAGTCCTAAATTAGTATATAATTAAATTTAAAAGCAAACGATTTTTTTTATTTATCTTTTACTGAGTTACATTTACTTCTTAACTACTCACTTAACAGATGCCCAGGACACGTAGACGTCATCACTCCCACGATCGTTCATCCGGAGGCCATAGAGATAAGCGTAGGCGTGTCGATTCGGAAGAAGCATCGCCTTTGCAAACGGATGCCTCTTCTCCGTAAGTAGCCGTTTAAACGATTGATTTGATGAAATTCATTATATTTTTCTTATTTGGTTTTAGACCACGCACCAGATATACACGTTCGGATGCCAAGAAGCGTCATCACGAATCGGATGTTAGTTCGCGTGTTTCAAAGGACTCATCGTAAGTTTGTATTGAAATAGTATAAAACTGCATATTTAAATAAGCATCAGTATGTGTGTAGGCTTGGAAAACGGGTTTGAGTCCACTATTAAGCGCATTCTTCAGTTTTGATGTTTCTAGTTGATCATACTAATAGCTGTCCAACCGATAACATACATTTTGCCTAAAGTTTTTTTGTTGGTACATTTTAAACGCAAAATACTTCGATTGTAAATATATACTTAACAAATCAAACGTACAGTAAAGAAATTTTGTTTTTGATACTTTCTTCTCCAAACTGAAGGAAGAACCTAAGTTTTAGCAAAGTAAAAACTAGCGGACGCGCTTTAAAATGTTGCTTTCTATAATTAGTCTGATATAATTCTCTCGGCGGTCGCAGAAGTCAAGCAGGTAGGAGAGCATTAGGGAAGGTTGAGTGCAATATATACCCAGACCAATTTCAAAAATTATAAATGAAAGGTTTCTTTTTTATGTAAGGTCGCCGCGCCTCGGCACAGAAATTCAAGACCGCAACTACGCAGTGTTTATTTTTGTGATGCAATAAAAAGCGCTTTATAAAAATCAAAAAGTCATTCAGAAGCACACTAAAACTATAAGGCGGCACCGCATTTTGTTGGCAAGGCGCACACCAAATCTGTTTGGAAATAGACTAGACCGAAAATACTTTCAGTTGTTATACTTATATATGTAAATAAATAATTCCCTTAGAATGCGAATGCATATTTGCATCATTATTTATGTATCTGCTTTAATTTAGCAAACACTTGCGCGTTAATATCTTATCAACGTGTCATATCTATCATAAAGGCTATTAATACATAAAGCCCACCGAAAACGTTGCATACCTTTAGGCGCTCAAAAAATTTTCATACGTTTCTACTTAAATGCATTTTTAATACAACTTTTTTTTCGAGATACTTGTTTTGCTCTTATCGTTTACTAATTATAAGTCCACCTACAATAATCTGTACACTTCAATAAGTCATTAATGGTTTTTTTTTTATCCAATTCTTTTGTAAAAAATGATTGAAAAAAAAAAATAATATATCGCACTCTCACAACAAATAAAAATGCCGTTCGAAGTCATTAACCGAAATTTGTAGGCAAATAAATAAGAGAAATATGTAACGATGGACATACAAACTGGGATGACAACATGTTTAAAATCTCATATGTATGTATGTATGTACACTTCCTTGTTGACCATTTGTGGCTTAAAGCAGCTGTTCGTACACCAGCAGTCAAAATGGAAAACTTGAGCGATTATTCATTTATTGTGGAGTGCAAGTGGGCGGACACTTTTTCGGAAAGATTTCTTGCAGATGCATATGCGATTTAAGACGATTTTAAGAAATAACTGTAAATGAAATCGCTGTAATTTGTTTAGAGTGACTCATGCAAGGAAATCATGAAAATATGAAAATTGATTGTTACGCTTTTGTTATTGAAGTTGCAGCGATGCATTAATATTATTTTAGCTTTTACCTAATGAAAATAACAGGGCAAAGCTAACGAATGTGCCGCGCACGTGCACATAGGTACTTATTGGGCGCCAGTTAATTTTTTTATATTTTTTTTTGCATTAAAATTTTATATGCATATCTCGTCCAATATAAATTGTAATCTTGTGTTGCATGAATTTCAATATTAATTGCTTCATCATGCAATTACTAAGCTCAGTTCATTAGCCATTATTAGCTTCTTGTTATATTTATGCATTTATTTATTAGCTAGTTCATGTTTATAGAAATGCTCACATTTACTTTAGCAGCATACATCTGAATATCTTTATTATATTGTATTTTATATGATGTTTTTCTGCATTTGCCTTTTTTGGACACTCATTTGCAAGTGATTGAACGACGGCATATTGTGTAAACACATGCAAATTGTCAGTGAAACATGACTGCTCTGCGCAGCGGCGACGGTCCGGTCTTCCAATGAATTTATTGTTTTGCCAATTATTGTAGATACGTACATTTGCATAGTAAATATATACTCTTTATATATGTATGCAACATTGCAGTTTATCTCGATTATGTTGCTTCTTTTTCCTGAAAGTTTTCGGATTTGATTTTCACTTTTTTAATTATTTTTGTTTTTTTTATATTTTTTGTGCATTGTTTTACTTTATAATTTGCAATTGTCGATTGTCGTGCGCTGCTGTCACATTGTATGGTATAACAACATAAATAACTGTTCTCTTTGTTTGTGATTTATAAAGGTGACCGTCGTCGTCCTCATGCCAACTTCTTTTGATGCGCATTTATTGCAAGTGTTTATTTATTGTATTTTTTTATTTACATTCGTTCATCATTTTCTCCAATTTTATATTGACATTACGAGACTAATAAGGAAATATAATGAATGTCCACTTTCCGCTTGGTTAGCAGCATGCCGCGTTTAATTTATAAATCCTGATCGGCTGTATACCGTTTAGTTTCTGCTGAAATTAATCACAGCTTAAAACAGCAACGACGACGCCCACACGCCTGAGTGAATTTTAATTTGTAAAAGTCGAAGTGTGCTGTGATTAAGATCGCCAGCAAACAAAGAGATGAAAGGAATCCTTTTACAATTTTTATTTCAGTGTTGGATATTTACTGAATCATATGAATTTTACAATTGTAGGAGTGTTTATGGGAAATTGTGATTATGCGTGACTTGAGTTGAGTGCACTTCCGGCAGCTTGGAAAGTCGTTTAGGGGTGGGGGGAGGGTAAACGAATGCATTAAATTCCACTAATGCGTAAATCGTGGTATTGAAGACTCACATGTGGGGTTTTAAGAATTTTTATATTGAAAGCATTTAGAATTTCTGATTCCATTTATTTGGCAGTTGGAACTTTTTTCACTAACTCGGCCGATTATAAAAGCGCCCATTATATTTATAATTCTGGCTGAATGGCGAATTGAACTAAAAAGAGTCCAAGCTTTTTTCCTTCTCCGTTTTCGGATTTAATTAGAAACTCATTGTTGTTGTAGCGGTTCGCTAACCACCCCTAGGAGCCGTATATTAATCTAATCACTCGTTGGTCATTTAACGGGAGGTGCAGGAAAATAGCTGTGTCGATGAGTTCGGAACAGAAGAAACGTGAGGTTAGATGTGTTGGCATTAGGGGGGCATCCCAAGAAGTAGTTAGTATGTTGCTTGAACTACGCAGAACTAACGTCGGGTATGTCGACGTGTGCATTTCACTTGACTAGACGACAATATCGAACAATCATCGGCATATGAGATCAGTGAAACTCCTTCCTTTTTTAATCTTTCTGAGTTTGGATATTTGAACTCGGAATTCTACCGATAATTGCCGACTACTCAATGTCCGATAGCAGCACTGAATGATTGGCAATGTCAAAAGCTTTTGACAGATCCAGTGCTACCAGTACAGTTCGCACTCAGGGCCGGTTTTGGTTGAGGACATTGTTGCTTTCTGTTGTAGCATCAGCATGCTTATTCCGTCGGTCTCGATGGATTTGAAGGCTTTCGCCTGCGCAATGAACACGTCGTCTTTGTTAGAATATTTGAATAACTCGCTTCTAATAGAAAAGAACATAGGGACAGAAATGAAGAAACATGTTCATGTTTGAGAATTATTCCGCAGGTTGAGGGTCTCCACTGTCAATTAAGATCCAAAATGTATATTCTAATGTGTGATTTTCATATTTCATGGTATTTTTTACCATGGAGGAAAATTTAAGGACGCGTTTCGACAAAATAATATATATATAAAAATGTTCCATGCCTTTGAAGTATTTCTAGTTTAAACCTCTATCTGCCCTTTCATGTGCCACAACACTTTAGACTCGCTTCATAGAGACTGCGTTCGAATTATTAGTCTGCAGATCTGTTCTTAAGAAGATTTTCTAGCTTTTCAAGGTGTTAGCATACTTAGAAAAAATTTTTTTGTGGAAGAAATGGATTTGGTCCACTAACCTTATTTCTAGTATTGCACAACATTGTGGTATTATAACGTAACGTTGTCAATAATGAATTCTCCGATTCATATATGAAATCAAAACATTTCTTTTAATTTTCGCTATTATTATTATTTTTTTTTAATAAAAATCATGTTTCTCGTAGGTTTCTCCAAGACTATTTGTCACCTCAAGCCGTTAGTGTGTCATTTACGCCAAATTTCACAAGGTTAATGTCACCGCAGTGTGTGCAAAGTTACAACACCACGCTATTGTTTTTTCTTCCCCTTCTTCTTAATGCCACTTGTCTTCGACGCTACATCTCCGTTGTTGGCTAAGAAAAAAATTAAACTCAGTGTCTCACATTTCGCGTCTCCACTATTCAAAAATTCAATATCTTAACATTAATTTTGAATTTCAATTGAATTTGAAATAATTTATACATTGTTTGTTGTGCGTGCTATTGTCTGTCGTACGCTGGTTGGTGGCACAGGTACTGTACATACTGTGTGGGCTGCAGCACACCGAATTATTTATTTTTGAGTAGTAAGCAAGGTCAGTTGCAAAAAGAAAACACAAACATTAGACCCTCAACTTCATTGCTACCAATATCAGTTTAGCTATCTATGCCATGACACACCGCACCGCACAGCACAACACGGCACGGCACGGTGCTGCTTGACTTAACTTTTGTTGCAATTGAAATTTTAACCTTTTGACAAACCACCTACTAGAAACAATGATTATTAGCGTATTTTTAAATGAATTTTTCCATGTATGAACAAATCGGAACTGCCTCGAAACATAGCAGTACCACTACCGATGTTGTGTTGTCGCAGGGACAGTGGCAGCAGCGCAACAGAAGCGTGACATTGCAATATTTCTGTCATTGTTTTGTCGTTCCTTGCCGACTTGAAGCTTAGTTTGCCACTTCACTTAGCTTTTTCTTTAGACATTTCGAAAATATTTGTTCTGTTGACGTTTTAACCACCTGTTGTTGTTTTTGTCTTGCGCAATTTAAGCGCTACTCGCCCACTTGTCACTGTAACAAAGTAATCAGTCGGTTCGGCTTGAGTGATATTTTAATATTGGCGCAATATCTGTCAATTATTGGTTGGCCGATTGCTTGATTGGTTATCATAAATACACAAATAAAATAATATAAAATAAAATGAAATGAAATGAAATGAAATGAAATGAAGTGAAGTGAAGTGAAGTGAAGTGAAGTGAAATGAAGTGAAATGAAATGAAATGAAACTAAATGAAATGAATTAAAATGCAATTAAATCAAATGAAAAGAAATGAATTAAAATGAAATTAAATGAAATGAAGTTAAATTTAAAATATAGTAAATTAAATTAAACCAAATAATATTAAATCAAACTAAATCAAATTAAATTAAATTAAATTACATAAAGTAAAATTAAACAAAATAAAGGTGCACAAAATAAAGTTGCATAAAATAAAATAACATAAAATAAAATAACATAAAATAAAATAACATAAAATAAAATAACATAAAATAAAATGAAATGAAATGAAATGAAATGAAATGAAATAAACTGAAATGAACTGAAATGAACTGAACTGAAATGAAGTGAAATTAAATTTAAAATAAAAAAAATAAATTAAACTAAATAAAATTAAATCAAACTAAATTAAATTAAATTACATAAAATAAAATACAATTAAATATAATAAAAATAAGTTGCATAAAATAAAATTACATAAAATAAAATTACATAAAATAAAACTACATAAAATAAAACTACATAAAATAAAATAACAAAAAATAAAATAAAATAAACCAAAATTGCATAAAATAAAATTACATAAAATTAAATAAAACAAAATCAAAGCAAATGAAACAGAAAAAATAATTGAACCTATTTTTATTACATACTTCATTCCTCTTAATCAGCACAATTCCTTTTTCAGGTATACAATTTTTATATTGTCTGCCAAAAATGGCAATTCATTGCTGCTATTATTTTCCTATTTTTATAAATACCCGATCGCTCTTTTATTACACGATTTCTTTCATTTGTAACGGCAACCATCCATCCCTCATGATTACAAAATGTATTTTCTTCGATTTGTAAATTATAATCAGTTTCAGTTCTTTGACTCTCAACTAACAACCAGCAGTTCTTCTGTTTTGTTGCCCGCTCGATTGTGGCTCGCTGACGTTTTCATGTGGTTTTACTTTAAATGGTAGCTTGTTTTCGCTTTAATAATGTTAATATTTAAACACTGTTCTTCTTCACTGTTGTTGGAAAAAATGCAGTTTTGCTTTTATTTTTATAAATTAACCCACACGTGGAGCGCCTGCAATTCTGCTTACTCGCCGCCTGGCGGTTCGTCTTGCGTATTCAGCTTTCTAACTGTTCTAAAAATATCGTCCTTACGCATGCGCTGTTTTTGTCTGCTGTTTTTTGCCTTTAATTTATGTTAAACCAAGATTTATTATTTGTCTGGCAAAAATGCATTGTTTATTCTTGTCAGCTGGCAATTTTACTGTGGTGCGGGACTACATCGATGCTATCTGAGGTTTGGGCTTGTCCCATGTCATGGAAGCCTTTGTTTTTTATATGATAATCAACTTTTAAAATCTTAAATAAAATAAAAAACAACATTTAAATAAATCAAATATATATTAAGATATTGTATATCATAGGAAGTGAATAAAATAAAACAAACAATAAAATTTATGAAATAAAAATTAAAAAATGTTAAAAATTAAATAAAAATTATTTAAAAAGAAAATAAAATATTAATAAAATAAAAAAAAAATAAAAAAAAATAAAAAAAAATAAAAAAAAAATAAAAAAAAATAAAAAAAAAATTAAAAAAATAAAAAAAATATTAAAAACATAATAAAAAAGAACAAAATAAAATATTAAAAACATAATAAAAAAAAAAAACAAAATAAAATATTAAAAACATAATAAAAAAAAAACAAAATAAAATATTAAAAACATAATAAAAAAAAAAACAAAATAAAATATTAAAAACATAATAAAAAAACAAAATAAAATATTAAAAACATAATAAAAAAAAAAACAAAATAAAATATTAAAAACATAATAAAAAAAAACAAAATAAAATATTAAAAACATAATAAAAAAAAAAACAAAATAAAATATTAAAAACATAAAAAAAAAACAAAATAAAATATTAAAAACATAAAAAAAAAACAAATAAAATATTAAAAACATAATAAGAAAAAAACAAAACATAATAAAAAAACAAAATGAAATATTAAAAACATTATAAAAAAAAAAACAAAATAAAATATTAAAAAACATAATAAAAAAAAACAAAATAAAATATTAAAAAACAAAATAAAATATTAAAAAACATAATAAAAAAAAAACAAAATAAAATACTAAAAACATATAAAAATAAAAACAAAATGTAATATTAAAAAAATAATAAAAAAGATAATAAAATTAAAAAAATATTAAAAAAGATAATAAAATAAAAACGGAATAAAATCAAATATATAAATAAAGTTTACAAATAAAATAAAATATAAAAATAAAAATAAAATATAAATATGAATACAAATATAAATATAAATGTAAAAATAAATATAAAAATATAAAGCAAAATAAAATAAAATGAAATATTAAAATAAAATAAAATAATAGACATAAAACTTTGAAATAAAATATAAAAAATTTAAATTTAATTTAAAAAAATATAAAACAAATAAAATTAAGTTAAAAAATAAACAAAAATATCACAAAAGAATATAATATTCAAAAAGAAACATAAAAAAATAAATAAAAAACTAAAAAAACAACAATCAATAAATCAAATGGAAAAATAAATGTTGAAAAAATTAAGTATAAAAGACAATAAAATAAAAAAAATAATAATAAAAAAAGATTAAAAGAATTACAATAATATTAAATACAAAATTTGTTATAGTTTAAAAAATATATAAATATAAAAATATAATATATAAAATGAAAATAAAAATAATATAAAAAACTTGAAAGGAAAATAAAAAATAATATAAAAAATTTAAAAGGAAAAAAAAAATAAAGAAAAAATTGCAGATCAAGCGATTGGCGTTAAATAAAATATAATAAAAAGGTAAAAATTTTGCTCTTCCTTTTATCATTTTTATAATTTTATATCTTTTTTCCTTAATAATTTTCTTGCGGCTCTCATGAAATTCGACAGAATCGTTAACGTCTTTATTAATTCATACAACTCTAAATAAATATGTACATGTGCACTATACTATGAAAAACATACGCATGCGTATGTTGCTGTTTTAGCGCACGAGTTAATCGTCATTCGCGACTCGATTGTCTTGTCAATGTTGCGTTTTCGCCTGTTGCCACTTCCCATAGTCGTCAGTTCTTGTCGCTGCCGATTGTCGGCATGTTGCATGCAACATGAATATGCAAAGTGCTACAAGCAACCGTGCTACTTCTGTACGAATATAGTACACTACAGTGATGGAAACGAAAATGGGAATACAGGAAATTATATTTTTTTTAATAACAATATAAAGCTATATATTTTTTGAAGCGAATACTTGTCCATACCTACATATTCTCCAATTTTTTAACTCTCTTTCTGGCTAAATTTTGGGATTGAAATTATATACGAATAGATGTATGAGTGTAAGTGTGATTACATACATACATATGGTTAAACACAACAAAAAATGAATCACGTGCTCGAAGTGAGTTTTAACATCATTATGCCGGCGCTCTTAACGGATTTCCATTCCATGAACAATATTTGTGTATATTTGCTAGGCCAATTAGTGTATATTTACGATATTAATTTGCGTTCTACGCATACGTAATGCTCTGATTATCACCTAACATTAGGTACACATATATATGTGAGAGATATTTTATCTTAGTCAAATTTAAAAAATTAAAAAACAAATTAAACAAAATCAAAAAATAAAAAAGTAATAATAAATAAACAATAACTAAAAAAATGAGCAAAAAAAACGATAAAAGAAATCAGGAATAAAAAACGTGAAAAACAAAGTATAAAAACATAAAAAAAGAAAAAATGAACAGAAAATAAAACAAAGTGAAACACAAAAAATATAATCTAAAATAAAAACATGAAATTAAATAAAAACATATAAATAAATAAGAACATAAACTCAAGAAAAAATAAAACAAAACCAAAAAAAATTGAAATAATCCCAAACTAAAAAATAAACCAAAAATAAATAAGAAAAAAATGTAAAAAAAATTCAAATTAAAAAATAAAACAAAAAGGAATAAGAAAAAAAGGAAAAAAACCTTAGTTAACAGTAAAGAAAGTTAAAATAAAGCAGAAAAGGCAAAACTAAAACATAACAAATGACAAAAGTAAAATAAAGGCAAAATAAAATAAAGCAATAAAAAAAAGATAAATTAACGTAAAAAAGAAAATGAAATATAGTTTAATCAAAAATTATATATAAAAATATATGAAAAAATTAAAAACAAATGAAAGTATAAAAGTAATTAAATAGAAAATTTAAAAAAAAAAAATAATAAACTAATAATAATGTGATTCATAAAATATTAATTATAAAAAAAAGTAATAATAGATTTACTTAAACAAATTAAGAATGATGAGAAGAAAGCACTTGATAGCTCCTTAACTCGCCTCCAATTAGTAACGCTCCATGCATATTCAACTTGAACAAATGTAAAGTAAAACGAAGTATCATTGTTCCTGCGGGTTAAATAAGCATGAAGAACCTACATATTACATTTTGGAGGAAAATGTGTCATGCCAGAGTATTTACTATTTATTTTCATAACTGTTAAATATTCATGTGCTGCAAATATGGCATGAAAAAATAACACAATTATTACCTGCCAAGTGGCGTAAAATTATAAATGAAACCTAAGAGTCAACAGAAAATAATGGGTCATTGCTTTCAGCCAAATGCTGAAGAACTCGTCTCTTCAAGTTTAATACTCACTGTATTCAATTGCTCTCCAGGTAAGGAATAGTAAAGGTGTATTACTGTTATTTGATTTCCAGCCGAAATTGAAAACTACCAGATATGTATATCGTGTCACTCTTACATTTCGCTTGTACATATGTATTTATTATAACTGTTACACTGCAAACGAAAATATTTTTATTAACTATTGTATTTTAGTTTATTGAAGAAATTAACAAAGCTTTTTTCACCTTTAATTCA